GTCTCTAGACAAAGCTTGACTGTACAACAATAATTCTAAGTTAGCTACAGCTGCATTACTTATGTTATTGAATAAAATATTCATACTTCAGTAAATTAAGCTGAAAATGTATGTACGTTTTACTCTATATGCATAAAATACAATTTCAAAGGCTCATAACTCAAGTCAAATCAAAAACAAATTTTACCAGAACCCCCAAGAAGACCTTATCCTTAGTAGCATTTGTTACCATGCTGAATAGCAGCTTTTTAGCGCTCAACCAGTTTGGTGGTAGAGATGTTCCAAAAAAAGCTTTCAATTATAGCTATCTGGGGGGTGGGGGGAATGTCAAAATAGTATTAAGCAGAACCTTCTATTTTCAGAAAAACTGTTTTATCAATTAAAGAAAGAAAACATTTAAAGTTCTGAGAGAAAATGTTTTGAAAATGCTCACATTTTCAATTCCATTTTTTCTAAATGAAGTTTTAATCTTTCATTTCAAAATGTACCTTTTTACGCAAAATGTATAAAAATGGTTGAGACTGAAGCAGCATGTTTTAAAAACCTTTGTTTAATAATGGAATTAAAATGCTGAATTCTCATCCTGTTTTTGAATGAAAAAAAATATTCATTTTTCCTGAGATGCAAAATCTTCCATTTTAAGCCCCACCTTTTCTTTTTTTTTCTTTTTTAAGAACAGTGCTACCACTGAAAGTAGAATTTTCTGAATGTTATAAACAACCAAAAACAGGGTATTAGTAAGAAATCTGGTATGCAACCTTAAAATTATTTCTGGAGATCTGTTAAGAATATTAAATATGGGTTTTACAGGCCTAATACGAATACAGACAATTTATTAGAATTTTCAGTGACACTATTTTTAAAATATAACAAGTTATTTGTAGTTCCCAAACCTAATATGTAACACACTAGAAAATTAAAACATTGAAAAGCAGAAATAAAACTTACATGTCTATTTTCATTGATGAAGTAGAACAAAGCAATGGAAAGTGAACTGTACTTTTAAAATGTTCCAAGTTTCAATTTAATGAGAGGCATTATTCATAATATGTAAGGAAGATGTAACTATATATACACAAGGGCTATCCTGAGAGGAAGTATTTAATGTTAAATCTCAAAAGCAAATATATATATCTGCAATTAAATTTGCACACAGTCATAAAAATTAGATCTAATGCTGAAAAATTGTCCTTATTTGCTATGTTTCTAATTTATCAAGATGTGTATAGTCCAGTTCAGGTAACTGAGTAACCAGGTAAGAATGTGAGGTAACATGTAATGAAGTGAGTGGAGGCAGAGAAAGTTTGAAAAAATGATACCCTCCTTAAAAAATAAAAAAGATAAAGTACATAAACCAAAGGAAAAAGAATCCTGCCACCACAGAAGGTGGATTAAAAAATAAATAAAAATCCATCAAAACAAAAAACCAAAAATCTTCATCTAAATAAAAAAAAACTTCATGATTTCTATGCCAACCTCCTGTTTTTCTAAGAGTCAAACTTAACTTTTTTAGTACTTGTATTTGGCAATACTGAATTATTCTGCATATTTAAATTTTGACAAATTAATCATGCAACAGACACTCCATCACTGACCTCAGACTAGCAGGTCCTAAACAACAGAACTTTAAAACCCAACTGAAATGTGATATTTCAAAACCATGCATGAACGACACATGCCTCTAGAGGCTGGGGCAGGGCACAGCAACTGCCTGCAGGTGGCGGCAGTGGCAGGGGCATCGTGGCAGCAAGTGGGGAGCTCCCGCAGGTGGCTGCTGCAGTGTTGGTGGTGAGGGGGGGCGAGTGCTGACCAGCAGTTGATGGCCACCTGCAGATGCCACCAGTGGTAAGGCGGGGTGGTGAGCAGCGACCGCCTGCAGGCACCACTGGTACCATCGGCAGGGCTTCTTTCAGGGGGGGTATGTGCACCCACTTCGCCAATGAAACAATGACTCATCTACAGATTTGTATGTGCACCCACATCGCCAATGAAACAATGACTCATCTACAGATTGTGGTAATTATTGTCTAAAAAGAGATTCTGGCTTATCTCATTACCTGTACTAGCTTTTTATAACCGTTATGTCCCTAAGTGGTTAATTGTGTGTTTATCCCTCTTCTCAGCAGCATATCCATCCCTTATCTTTTCCTTCTTCCTCCCTATTCTTGTATTTAAATGACTTTATTCCCTTCTATTTGGTAAACCCTGGTCTCTGCAATTCTATTCATAAGGTCTGAAAAAAGAGGCAGTACCCTATGCAAGCTTATGCATTTCTGAACAAGTCAGTATTCTGCCCTGCCTACAGCCTGACTTCAAAGTAACATAGCTAAACTGACTCTCATTATAAGGGAGTAAATTATAATTTTAATCTATACCCACAATTCCACTTATATTTTTAGCTTTAACTGGTCTGAACATTATTTTAACATGTATTTCCCCTGAATTTGTCTTACATGCATTTGCTTAAAGAAACTGGAACAAGCAATCATATATCATACTAATTTTTAAAAGCTATGTGATGTTTGTTGGACAAACTTAAAGCTGAAATGGGGAAAATCTGGCATATTTTTCAAAACTATGGTATTGGGATACCCAATTTGTATTACATTTACTGTGAATTATAAGTCTGTAGAGATGAAAATACTTTAATGTTTCAATAATCCAAAATAATTTAAATTATTGACATTACATTACATTATATATTAAAACAAGAATTATACACACTTCTAAAAATATGGGGTAATACTTGGTACTATAACTGTGATGGCTTTTCATGAAGGAGTTTGTCTTTCATATCCTGAGTTTAGTCAAGGGGTCATTTTCTGGTATAGGTTCTTTGGAAAACAGACACACAAGGCTGCCATACAATCATTGGGGAAGGCAGAATTGTGGCCCGAGGAGAGTGCTGTAACTCAGAAAGGCATCCAGGACTGTCTGATTTATGCCTAGGGTAATTCTAATCTCTGAAGCAGCCTAGTGTTAGGAAGGCAGAACTCTAATTAATGTTCCTATATTTAAAAAAAACAAACAGATGCTATATTGTGAAAAAGTGGGGGGGGGGGGGGGGGGGGGGGGGGGGGGAGAAAAGGAGTTGGGGAAACCAAGCAAATCGTATTGCTTTCCCTGTTTTGCATTCCAAGTTTCAATCATCACGAAGGTTTTCTGCTGAATAAAAATGCTCTGAAAATAGAAATCTGTTATGCAAATGCTAACAAATTGTCTATCATAGAGAAAGCATAACTTGGAAGGTTTTATACATCAACATTGCCACGTGAGACAGAGCAACCATTTTCTACAGGCCTGCTATAAGTCAATTGTCCAAATCTGATAAGTTGATGGACTATAGTTGGTAATTGTATCCATCTCATGAATGGAGAGTGGGTGAAATGGAAACGAAGTCATTTTTAGCAGTTTATTAAAAGCTTTGGACAAATTGAACAGCTACTGCCCAAATCATTTTACCAGCATTTCAATGAGGCTTTTTTTAAAATCAAATAACAGATTATTTGGTTAGCTAGTTTGTACTCTGTAATAAATTATATTTAAAAACAAACCAAACTGCTTCTATTGATGCTGATTTCTACTGTGAATGATCTTAATGTGAAAGGAAAGCCTCTCATACTAACCTTCATTCTCATGAGAGAAACTTTATGACAAGGGTAATCTTCCAGGTTCATACCTGAAAGATCTTCTCCTGGAAGGGACGTGTTTCTCCCAAGAGAAATGGAACAGGTTCCTGTACACCTCTCATCTCTACTGAGAGAACAACGAGTCTCTTGGTAGAAATGTATATGGTCTAAGATAGCTGGAAAGCAGAAAATAGTACTTAAGACCATGTTTGTATAGATAACTTAATGAGCTTTACATGGTTTAAAACTCCTTGCACTGTTGTGATCATGTGGCTTCCAAAACTTGGGAGCCATAAATTCACTTTAGTGGAATTCAGAGGTACTGTAGATCTAATTAGCCAAGGTGAATATGACTGATCTACTCACAGCCTGGGAAGAAGAATGTATGGAGCCACTTTGCATGTTTCATAATAGTGTAGTAAATTATTGGCATGGGCATGCCCTAAAGGCTGCAAAGGCCACTGAAACCAAAGGATTCTGAATTGTATCCTATGTAAAAGCTTTATAAGAAAAGCATCTTCTAGAGGTCCTCGCCCCTACCTTGGGCAAATTCAAGAGGATGTTGGACGATCACCTGTCTGGGGTCTTGTGAACCCAGCGTTCATTCCTGCCTATGGCAAGGGGTCAGGCTAGATGATCTGTTCAGGTCCCTCCTGACCCTAGCTACTATGAAACTATGAAACTATTGCACCATAGAATTTGTTTTGTTTCTGTGTCTGGATTGTCTTTTGTCTTGAGAGGCCATTTCTGCTAACTAGTCTCAAAATAGATAGCTCTTCAGATACATAGTTATTGCATCACACAATATATACACATCTACCTCTACTAACCTGGTATGTCCCAATGAAGAAAAAAAAAAACTATCGCAGATAAATACATAGGCTTTGCATCTGGCAAAGCAAAATAAGGCTCAGGACATGGGATCAAAATTCTTCTAAATGCATGCATAAAAAAACCCTTTTAAAAATGAATGCCAACATTTGAATGTATCTTCCAAAAAGAAAAAAAATCACTGGGAACTGGGAAGCTGTGAACTGTGTGCCTCTGTCTGAATGATCTCCACATGTTACTTAATAAAGTACACACTTCAAAAAAAAAAAGGTGCAATGCTAAATGCTTGCAGTGCTGTTAGCTAACTACCTGTAGAATAGAAATTGTATACTCTGCATCTAGAAATTTGTATGCAATGCTTAAAGCTCACCTTTGAACTAACAGCTGATTTACCATACCCTGTACTTGAAATTATCCATTTTATATGAAAGATTATTTCCTAACAAGCTTGTTTCATCATTAAAATCACAATCCATAAAGGAATGAAGTAATAAATCTGCAACTATGTTTTCAGCTTGACTGTAGAGGGATTTCCCTTACCTTTATGGCAGTAGAAGCTATCTGAATATGATGAAGTCTGCGGAGGGTACTGTCTCTGTCAATAAAATAGGATGCTGCCAGCTGGTGAAGAGTTTCTAAAGTCACAGAAGAGCTGTTGGTACTTGGATCACTTCCTTCTGATCTCTTACTCAGCTTCCGCTTGTCCACAAAAATTGTGAGTGATTCCTCCCCTGCATAAATAAATTAAAAAATCAGTGCATCTTTCACATCTCACATTTCATCAGAAATAGGGTGAAAGTCAATTGTTTTCATTCACTTGTGTGTAAAGTTAGCTTTTGGAGCACTGTGTGGCCTTTGTGGATCTGCCCTTAGGTACCCAACTATCATTTGTGCTTGTGGAAACCTCCATGTGAGTTACATATCTTTGAAAACCCTAAAGATGGTTAAGACCATGTTTGCAGAATGTATTAAGAAGCATAATTTTCAAAAATCCTAAGCACCAAGCATCTTCCACTGAATTCAGTGTGGCCTCCTGGGTCCTCAGCACTTGAAAATCACACCACTCATAAAGGTCTCTTGGTACCTATACACATGCAGTGAGGCTGCTCCAACATGTTGTAATTATAGCGTGTCACAGCACGGTAATCACTGTGTTCCAGCAGACTTCAGTGTCATGTGTATCAGTGTCCCCTCATTGAAAAATGGTGGCAGGGGCACTTTAACTAAAGCTTGTTTGATGAACTTTAACTAAAGTGTCCACTGCCATTTTTCAGTGCAGGGACACTGATGCACGTAATGCTCTGGGCGCTTTAATTAGAATGGCTCTTGGACCTATTCTAATGAAAGTGGCCCCTCCCCCCAGCATGTGTATAAATGCCCCTAGATTGAAAATGTAGGCTTGTTAATGTAATACAATTTTTAGTCCTTATTAGAAACCAGTTGAAAATCAGATGCAAAAAACTACTTTCATATTTCTAGTTCTTTAATTTCACGATATGAACCATAAAAATACAACAGGCCAAGGTGCAGCAATAGAAGCTTAGGTTAGATATTAGTGAAAAATCTCTCTCAGTAGGAGACTAATGAAGCACTGAACCAGGCTACCTAGAGAGGTTGTTAAGACCACCCTTCTCCATCCTTAGAGGTTATAAAGACCAGGGTAGACAAAGCCTTGGCTAGGAGGATATAGTTTGGGATGGTTCTGCTTTGAGCAGGGGGTTGGACTAGATGACCTCTAGAGGTCCCTTCCAACCCTAAATTTCTATGATCCTATGACATTTTCTATGATACTTCCAATGGAGTTACACCAGGCATGAGGTTGCTTTAAATTCTTGAATTTTAAATTCCATAGCATAAATAGTTTCAACAATGCAGAAAGAAGACCTAACATGACTAATACTTAATAATAATAATAATAATAATAAAATATATTTTCCCTTTTATTAATGTGCCTTTTCCTTGTGGAAAATGTCTGGTGAAACTTAAGAAATGTGTATTCGTGCTACAGATCTCTTTAAGACTGTTAAAAACAAAGCAAACAAAACAACCCCATTTTTATTAAAATGAAAATATTTTTAGAATAATTTCCATAGATTTCTTTTCATTTGAACACTACTATATTTATTAGGAATTTTCCATAAATGTTCTATTTCCTTCTTATAGGAAAGAAGTCCAAATTTACTATAAATTTCCCTTTTCAGTCTGTGACTGGTAATTTTGGATTTTTTAAGTTATCTTGTTCCTGAATTCAGCAAGTAATACCAGTTCAGCATAACTTTAGATGACAGATATCTACACAGACTGCAGTTTCCTCATTCCTGGAAGGGAGTCTGTCCCATAATAATTAGACTTGATACTTGTACTAGTTTCATTGCATGTCCATCTGTTATGATGGCATTCTGCCCACTCACAAGATGTTATGCCAGTTTCAAATAGGCATATGTGCCAACAAATATAGCTGTAGAAGGATAATGTGTGGGATGCAAAAAAAGTGACATCGACTCCAAAAGAAGATAATCTTGATAGCAAACAATTCCAAATAAAGAACAATGCTTTGGTGCAAGAGTTCGCATCTCTTGGCACATGTGCTGGAAACACTGCATACCATGTTGTGAATAATCAACAACCCCTTTTGCCTTCACATTTCATTTCTGCATTTGGAGAAAGCTAGCATGGCAATTGATGGTCTTTTCATTGTATTTATGGATGCCAGTGCTGGAAATTCAGTTGAAAGCCAAATTCTGAAGCAAAACAACAATGAATTAAAGGGAAGTTTTGTCTGAGTTAATACCACCAAGGTTTAACACTTTTACTTTATCATGAAGCAGACAACTCTCATCTCAGCTTCCTTTTGCTTGGTTTTCCAAGGAGGGTCTCATGACAGAACCTAGCAGAATGCATCCCACGGTATATTTGCTTTGTCCCCGAAGAATGTTTAACAGGATCAGGCCTCAGACTACCTATTGATTCAGAAAATAGTTGTAAAATAGTTTTTGAAATACTGGTGTGTATTGCTAATTGTAGTTCAACACACTAAGCAACTCAGAAGATGTGACAGCCTAAACTCTGGCATCCTACTGTGCAACTAGACAGGGGTTTACTAAATTTTCTTATACCGGATAATACTTAAACATTATATCATAGCAACTTAGTTAACATAAATGACTGTCAACAAGTATAGGAATATTTGGCACAACACATTTCAAAAAGGTATGAAATCAGTGCATAAATAAAAGAAATTTTCCACTATTCTGTTCCTCGCACTTTTTCATTAGCCTTAGAAAGGTGATTTTTGCTTTATATTGTTGACAACAATGGGTTTTTTCTCCCACTGAAGTCAGCAGCAATGTGCCAATATATACATAAAAGATGGCACTCCCCTTACATTGAGGGAAATTCCTGAATAAAAGGGAAAATCTTCCTTTATTTCCCACAAAATTGGTATTTTTTCTCCCTTCATGAATAATCACTTTCAAAGCCTCCTGACTACTTGGTGATAGTCATATCACTAAAGCTGATTGAATTGCTTCCATTCAAACTGTTTTTCAGCAGG